GCGTTGCGTGACGACCGACACTAAAAACGGATGCGAGGGAGACTAAAGATATTGTTTCCTTTTCACCAGAGTTTATTAAAAATTTAAAAAATTAATTGGAAGAAATTGCCAATCGACAATATTTAATTTCGAGCGGCGAGGTAAATATTCTCCGATATTCACTGAGGCTGAGGTAAACAATTGTTTTAGTATAAATACACAGGCGATTCTTAAAAAAAAGAAAAAAGAAAAAGAAGAAGATTAAAGAAATTTTTTCCGGCAACAGCGCGCAACAAAGCAGTTGGCCGCCATTTTGGATTATCGCTGGAGGTGATTATCGTGTGATAGTGTGAGTTTCTCGACCAATCAGCGCGCGAGATTTTCAATAATCCCCTGTGTGTTTTTACTTAAAACTTTTATCTGGCATTTTATATTAATAACTGAATTCGTAAAACGGAAAAAATTGGGAAAAAACAAGGTGAAGTTTGAAATAAATTTTATAACTTCGAAACTCGTAAAGATGTGAGTTTTCTAGGAAAAAATTTACTTTTACTTTTACTGAAAAGATGACCCTAACTTATTCCATTTTTTATTTTTGAATCGATTTTTTGAATATTCATATCCTCGCGATTTTTTAACTTATTTTGTTCCAAATTCAGCAGCTTAACTTATTTGAATATGGTCTTTACAGTTATTCTTCTGTCCTGTGAGTTTTGGATTTAAGTAATAAAAGCCCATTAGCTGAATGCCCAAACCTTAATGTTAAAAAATAAATGTGGGCTATATTATATAGATTGGGTTGTTTGAGTGAAATATTATGCAAACTATATTCATTGTTTTGTGTGCTTGGTCTTCAATGAGATTTAAAACCTAAGATTAATCTAAATCAGAGTTTAGCTGTTTGAAACTATGGTTTTGAAATAAGAATGGTTAGTAAATATAACACAATGAAAAGCTTATTCTTCAGACGTTTGGACCGACGTTTCTGCCAAAAAAATACAGCTCCAAAGTTTCTTTATTTCTGAATAAATCTTTTTTTTAGCCCAGAATTTTGGTTCGTGATCCTATGACAGAAAATTGAAGTGTTTCCCCCTATAAGTGAATTTCTAGTATGGGAATGAAGTTGGGTAGCGAGGAGGAGGGAAATCCGTATCGTTGGACATCCGATGAAGTCCAGAGATCAAACTGCTTAGGTTTTCCGGTCAACTGCACTTTCCATTATGAAACCAAACGCCGACTCTTTCATGGGAAGTTTCGGGTTATTTTCACCAGATATCTAAACTTGGGAACGAGCTTTTATCATGTAGAAAAGCTCAGAGGACAGAAAAAACAACAACAAAAAAACAAAATAAATAAATGAATAAATAAAAAAACAAAGCTGGAAAGAGAATGTTACGATTTGTAAAACTGCGAAATTTGAAGGAAATAAGTTTAAAAATCCGCGAAGATAAGGATATTCAAAAATCGAATATTTTTAACGAAAACCTTCATTGGAGACATCTTTAGCCTCCAGGAAAGCATTTTATAAATTTCACACCTTTTGAAAATCATATCTTTGCGAGTTTTTAAACTTATTTCCTTCAAACTTCAGGCCCTGCTAATTTGAACAAGATCCTTCCAGCTATAGTAAATCTTTTGCTTTTTTACTAACTTAAAAATATCTGATAAATGCTCATTTGTAGAGAGAAAACTTCTACTTATGCTGAAAGACTGACTCTTTAATTTATTTTTTTCTGTCTTAATTCTCCCACGTATAACGGCGGCACATTTTACGATACAGGAAATTAGTCATGTTTTAAAGCTCTTTTTTTCGTTGCGTCGTCGCTGCTATTCTCCTAAAATCTAATTGAACGCGTTTTAGTGACGCCATCTTTTGTTTTAAATCGTCCAATCACGCTTTATATTTTACTCTAAAAATATCGCTTTTTTAGTGTTTTTCTCTAAATAATGGGATAGCTTTTACATCTGATAAATTTTTTTTTTTAATTATCAAAGAAACTGGCTGGATAAGATCATTTTGAATCTTTAGGTCCTGGCTAAACGAGGAAAAATGTTTACAGCGCGCATGTTTCCTCGATGTTTCCCAGTTTAGCCACATGCGAAACATTGCTTCGTGCGACAAATTTTGCTTGCAAGACGCAAAAAATGTTTTTCCTGTGCGGCAGAAACATTTCATGTTTCCAAGACGCATGGAAACATTGTTTCCCGATGTTTCCTGTCAGTTTTGCCATCTTAGGAAAGATTTAGGGAAACATGTTCTGGAAACATCGTTTAGCCAGGGCCTGCAATTATATTTAAATACTATATACTATTATCGTGGACCATGACAGATCTATGAGATGATTTGATAGACAATTTAAATATACCACATTTTWAAAATCTATATCTCGTAAACGTAGGCACCATCTTCATCATGCGACGAAACTGATAAAAGGCCCAAATCAAGCTCGCATTCTGTAGAATTCCGTGCAAGAAATACTATGGTATAGCTAATGAATGAAGCTTAATTGAGCTAACAGTTAA